GAGTATGGATAATGAGGAAATTATGCAAAGCCCACATCACCACTGCTGACAGTTGGGAATTATGCACAAACCATTGTTTAGTTTTTTTTTTTTTCTTAAGGACTTTAATGACTTTAGCTCACAAAGACTGAAGAGTTCAAGTACAGTCATACTTTTACTAGGTTGCTTTATAATGAAAATTAAATGAACTGTGCTGCGAATAGTATTGTATATACTCTTAAACAGCTTTAAACTAGGCAAGTGTACAATTAGAAAACTATGACTTGAAAGTCACGAAGTGAAAATGAGCCATTTGCTCACTTCATGTCAGCACAGAAGAAGGGGTCTGCAGAAGAAACCAGGGACACTGCCTACTCCTGGGCATCCCGAGGGGCCGCAGAGACCCCACCCTTCCCAGCAGCAGGGGAAGGCTGCTTAAGCTGTTGCCAGATTGAGGGCAATCTGTAGTGACTCATTTTCTGGAGGGTACACCATGAAGAAAACAAGACATGGGCTTCATCAGGACATCAGCATCTGGTGACAGAACCGGAGGTGTGGGTCAGATGGCAGAATACACGGCTGCCCTTGTGGATCGTGCTCAATGCCCACCCCCAGCTCTCAGCAGTGGTTTGGATGGACACAGTGTCACGGGGCTGTCTTCTGCTTTTCTAAAAAAAAGTATCTGGAATCTCTGAAGAAAAGCACAGAGGTCCCAGCCAGACAGTAAGTTGGGCTGGAAGGGCGGGCCACCCTGTGTGCTCTCGCACCCTCAGCAGCACCAAGCAGGCTTTTTGGGCCAGAAGGACGCAGGATGTCCCCAGGGATGTGGCAGGGTCCTGCCCCTGGCTGGTCTGCTTTGCTGTTTTAACCACACACACTCAGCTGAACAAAGCTGGAATGAGCCCTTCCTGCTAAAAGGTAGCTGTCCAACTGGGTATTTCTAAAATGGGTAAATTGAGGGCCAGCTGATGGCAACCAAAAAGCTGTGGGATTAAATTTTTACAGCAAAGAAGCAACTCTCCGTCGCTGAATATACACCGGTCATAAATGTGCTTGCTTGCTCAGACTCCTTTCCCGTGTGTTACAATATTGACATTTAATAGGAAAATAAACCACTGAGACTTTATATGCATCCATTTGCAAATTTCCTTACAAAAGAGGACAAGGCTGCACACTGGCATTCACAAATTCTATGCCGTTTGTTAAAGTCGGTGTTATCTATACATTATATTACAGTAGTAACAATCTTTGTTCTACCCATTGGGTAGGATATGTGTATAATATATCCAACATATATACAGCACCTTACAAATGAGAAATGACAGACACTGGATAAGCACCATCATTGTGAGGCACAACCGGGGTGCTGGGGGGGGGGCCCAGGGCATGGGAAGGGCAGTTCTGAGTCTCCGGTGGTGCTGACCGCTTCACACAGAACTGAGCCTGCCCCGAGGAGCAGGGCAGGAAGACACCAACATGGAGCCAACAGCTTCAGGTGTTAAATGCCACTCGGGCTCCTAACAAAGGTGCTGTCAGTGGCCAGGCCGCACCCCTGCTCTCTGATAGCCCTGGTGTGGGCAGGAGGCCTTCTAGGCAATGGTCAAGCCAAGGGCACCATGCGCTGAGAGCCCTGCTGTGCCATGGGGAGCAGGCTGAGTTCCTGACAGGGAACTGGGGTCACACATCAGACACAGATCCTCACACTGCAGGGGGACACTTCTCCCCAGCCACTGTGCTGCCCACAGGGGAGTTTGTCCGGGGAAGGCAGAGGACATGGCCTTAGGTCAGTGTGGCCTTCATTTCACCTGGCAGGGCACTGGTGCCCAGGAGGGCTCAGGCTCCTGTCACGGCTCCAATCACTTGGACCAAAGCACAGAAAGGTGACAGAAGCAGGCGCACCCCTTCCTATGGTCTTCCCTCACTCTCAGCCGTGCTTCAGAAATTTTATGGAAAAGGGACAGTAGAGTTGATGCTGCTGCTCAATGTTCCCCAGCGTGTTTGGGAAGCACTTGGCCAGGGACACTTCCAGAGACACCAATCTGGGGTCCCCTGGTGGGAGCCAGTCCTTGGGTCCAAGATGCAATGGTTGTTCCTGGCCAAGCATTCCTGGAAATGCTTCCCTTCAAGTGCCTCGTTCTTAGGGAAGTGAAACTCAGGTGAAGGTCAAATGGCTCAGGGGCCACTTAGCAGCTGGACAGCAGCTCCTGCTGCCCCACAGAGCAGCCCCCCCGCCGATTGGTCCCAGCTTCCCCTGCTGCCTGGAGGCTCTTCTGGGCCCATGTGGGGCAGAAATACCTAGTATCTAAGTGACATGCACAGAAAACAGATCCTCTTTCTAGAAGCACGATTTGTCTCAGAATCTTGTACCCTGTCGGCCTCACAGTTGGGAAAAGCTTCTCACAGATGGGTTCCGTGTGTCTCTGGGTCATAGCGCTGCACACCCAGGTCAAGCACAAGTGGCCAGGCATCGCCACCACTGTTCTCTCAGGGACACAGCCCCTCACATGCCTGCTCCACAGAGCGATCGTGACTGCAAACCTGGCATACTGCCCACACCTCTGCTCTCAACCAGTCCAGGTTGGGAGCACAACTCCTGTGACACTAGGAGAGAGGCCATCAGGCTGGCCACACCCAGGAGAGCTACCACCGGAAATCGCCTCCTTCTGTGGGGAAGGGTGAGCAGGAGTGCAACTACTGCATGACAGAGGCCCAGCCTCAGAGACTTCTAGGCCATGGCTTGCTGTGTGTCTTTAAAACAACGAATGACCCAGGGGCAATGGTCTGGGGTACCTGCAAGGGGAGCACCTCTCTTCTGAGACTATACAAGTGACTTGAATTAAATGATTGCCAACACTCCGGGCATCCACAAAATGTTCGTGGAGTACAGTTAGGGGGAACTCCCGCTCTCTGCCCTCATCCTCAGGACAGTGAGGGCAGTGCCCTTGCTCCCCTACCCGCAAGCAGAACACAGAGTGGAGAGGACCTCACCTGTGTGCCAGGGACACTGACCAACCCCAGCTACTTCCCGTTCAGTGGCCCTTGGGAGCCAGCAACTTCCCAGGGCCCCCAGGACAGGGGAAGTTCATCTCTGCCCAAGGAGCAGGGCTCTCCTGGCAGGACCAAACTCAGCCTCAGTTTCCCTCGTGGCCCTCACCCAGAATCCTGCTAAGCAGCATCTCAGCCCAAGCCCGCATTGCCCCTCTGCTCCCCTCTGACCAGTCAGCTCTGGCTTCAATGCTGCTGTGCACATTTGGAAATCTCAAGGCGATTCCAAGCCTGCTACCAGGATATGACCAGGACTGAAGATGGGGAGAGACAGGACCAGGCTCCCAGCCAGTCCCTGAAGTCACCTTCAGGGACACAGACAGAAGGTAACAGCTACCAACCAGGTGGAAGGTGCACAGACCTCACCGTCGGGCCATGGCCCAGCCACCTCCCCGGCTCAGCTGTCCTGTGTGGAGATGGTGACAACCGGCCAGCCCTGTGTAGGCTCTGCCAGACTTGTTGCTGCCCAAAGCAGTGCTCACATCTGCAGAAGGGTATTTTTCACTGTAAGTAACAATGAACGTTTCAAACATTCGGAATATTAAAACAAAGACCCCCACAGTTAAGTCGCTTGAGTGTGCACGTGTGCTGAACCTCTGGCTGATGCTGGCCTGGCCGCCCACCCCCACTGCAGCTGGCCCTCTGGTTCCCCCCATCCACGGTGCCCACAGTGGCAGTGAGCCGTTCGGGGCAGATCCATAGGGAGGTGCTCCCTGCTCATCACCCCTGGCCAGCACCAGGCTCCAGGGCATGTTGGCCTGCAGAACTGTAAATGTGGAGCTGCCTGCCTGCCCAGCAGCCGAGACCCGCGGCCCAGGCTTCCGCCAAGCTCCACGGAACCGCGTTGGGTCTCAACAGTGACTGCCCAAAGTAAAGCAAGGATCTGAACAGCATCCAATTACAGGAGAAACCGCGCTGTCTGAGAACCAGGGCGTGCTGAGAACCCAGGCACAGGAGCGACCTGTGCCTGGCAGGTGGATGCGGGGACTGGGGATCCTGTCTCACCCCAAGGCAGGGCCAGCGATGTGCTCTCGTTTGATGCAAATTCTACGCAGTGATCACTTCCGGTTTAAGTGAGTCCTTGGAAATGCCGCAGGCGTCCTGGGACCACTGGAGTCTAGGTGGAAAGGAACGAGCGCTTGTGCACGGGGACGGACACGGGGTACACGCGCACGTGCAAGGGGGCACAACCACGCTCCGACCCGGACCGGCACGCAGACCCGGAATCCGGCATTCAGTCTGAACAGCGCACCAGCCCCACCTCGGCCCCGACCTCGACCTCGGGTCCATCCGACGGCGCCTCCTCCAGGTGCCGGTCCCGTCCTCTGGAGGCGACAGTAGGGACACCAGGGGAGATCCCCGGGGTGGGCCCCTGCCCGGGTCTGCTCAGGTCTGGCCCAGAAGGAGGCAGGGACCCCGGCCAGGTCAGGCGGGACCCCCGGGC